TCTTCTGTCTCTCCCATTCTCTGGCTTTCAAGTAAATCTTTAAAAAACAAAGAAACGAAAAACCAAAAATGCAGAGGTAAAGGGATGATTTTTCAAGTCAACCCAGCCAGGTGCTTTAGCAACTGGTTCTGACACAAGGGAAGAGGCCAGTGCTGCGGTGACTACTCTACTGCTCTGGGCCCCAGGTACCACCTTCACTATGCCTTTGTTTCTAGGAAGCCCATCCCACATTCAGTTAAGCTCTTCTGGCAATTACGTGAAGCAAAAGCCTGTGCCTCATAAAACAGAAAACAGGATTTTACCTGTATGCAATCCAGAATACTCAAGCTGTCAGTTCTAAGCAAGTACCAGAATCACTATTTTGTCATTTCTCAAGCTGGTTATTGGGGCCAGCTCACTCAGAAGGGTCATAGCACAGCAAAAACAAGCCCAAGGGCCGATGGGAATGTGGGCTGGGGGAACACTTTGTGAGAAAGTCACCCCTTGATTTCCTTCTGCCTGATGCAGACCTTGTAAACAGAGGGAAAATTCCAATTCACTGAGGCAAGCTCAGAAACCTTGACTCCCAAGACTTTTGTAACTGAAAGAAAACGTGTGTACATCCAATTCCACCACTATTACTCATTACTTTGTGTATGTGTGTGTGTGGTAACTATCACTTTTAAGATACCAACATGAAGCTGGGAATAGTGCTTCAAAGCCTCCATCGCAGAGAAATGAGTAAAGGGGCTGGTCAGATTCCCTGAATATAAACAATAAACAGAAAAGGAAGGAAGGTCATAGTAGTCTACTGTAATTCAGGCTTCCAGATCATTGAGGCTGATGAAGTCCTGAGCCCTGGCACAGGGAAAGCTGAGCCTCACAGAGGGCAGTGGCCTGTGCAGGTTCACGTGTGACCACGCCAACCCATCTCCTGTTCTTTGCATTCTTTGACTAATATGCTTTTGGAGATTTGCAAGTCTTTCTCTTGGATGCTTTATAAAGACGCCTGTCTTGAAAGTTCACCAGCTTGCCAAAGGTCATAGAGCAGTGGCACTTAACCAAGCCATGCTTTTAGTTGTTCCCTTTGCCATGAGCACTGCCAAACTGACAGTATCTACAGGAGCTATTAACTTCAGAGTATTCAAATTCACATTGTGATGCCAAGGGAACATCACAACATCAATTCTCAAAGCTACTTTAGGCAGTAGCCCTATGAGGACTCATTTGCTCTCTGCCTAGAGGTATGGAGATTCCCAAAGCAGGTGTGGCAAATCAACACCTTGGTTGAGAATCTTGGATCCTACACCATTCTGGGCTATTTCCCAAAGCACTAACTTGTTAATCTAATGTATTGGTACAGGGCCCTCGCTGATAAATCTTGCCCCAGAATAAAGCCACTTTTATATTTTTTGGCAGAAATATTAATAGTCAAGTAAACAAATTTATTAAACCCAACAGTAGGTAACGTTCCAAATAAAACATCAAAAGAAAAAAAAAACATCAAAGACAAAAATGCGTGTAACAAGTTAATAAAAATATTCAAGGGGCCATATGAAGAGTGCAACAGTGCAGAGAACACAATCCAATGTATTAACTTTTGTCAAGTTTGTACAGCCTCAAGAAATAGACACGCCGGTTACACATCCAGAGGAATCCACAAAGGTGGAGGAGGGTCACATGAGCAGTGCACTCATCACCTCAACAGCTTAAGGCAGGGTATCCAGGACTAATCCATCCATGCCCCCCATTTGCCTATTGCTTCAAATTCCCCCTTGGAGACCTAGACTGCGTCATTAGTGCAACAGGTAAGAACAGTTATAGACTCAGAAGACACTTCCAGAGCAAGTGTATGTGGGGAGAGTGGGGGAAGACAAACAGCTGGCTTCCTTTGGTGATATCCAAGAACTGTGTTGACAGCAACAGGGAAGAAGGTGGGTGGTGGACAGTGTGTGAGAGCAAGCCATGTATCCAAGACATGAATGGGGAGGACCAGATATCCTAGGCATTTGAATCAAAAGCAGAACCTAATAGTTACACAAAATTATTTAAACCATCTTGGCCTCTGGAGCCAGGGCTCAAGAATCAAAAATGAAACAAAATGCTGATGGTCCTCACTGACATACAGTCGCAATCCCAGTGAAACTGAATATGCCATAGTTATACAGGTAGCATACAGTATGCCATAGTAATACACAGCATACAGGTGGGAATAAAATCTCAAGGGGTTATGGGAAGGAACTGCTGCTAAAGGACTCAGAAAACACATGGAGTGCGGATGATCAGTGTCACATGTCCCCAAATGAGTCAAAGGTAGTAGCACATTTCATTAACCTTAACAGTCCCTTTGATAGGCATTTAATAGCAACATTCCTGGAATCTTCCAAGGAAGACCCTACGTCAGTCCTCAAGATGTTCAAGTCCACCAAGGAAGACCTTTGTCAGTTGGCAAGAAATTCAAGTCATTAACCAAATATAACAGACACAAGGAAAACAGCAATACTACAAAAAAAAAAAAAGGAGCAGCTTTTTTCAGCCGTTACCTTAATAGTATTAAGGACTTTACCTTTGGGCTTTGTTACACCAAAGACCTTACTTGAAACAGGGCAAACTCAACAATCCCTAAATATAAACCTGTTTTGGTTTGTAAACTTTTAGACAAGTCCTTACCTCAGTAACTTCCCACCATTGTTTAGCACGATCTGGCATAGCATACAGTATATGAGGCCATCAAGTGAGCTACAGGGTACCACACCCTGAAGCCTCCAGCACCAAGGACTGATTTTTGGCAGCAGCCCCTGGGCGATCAGTACTGTTTCAAAGACTGACTAATACTGTGTGGCTTCATCCTTTCTTCCTTTCCAAGAAGGCCGGTTTTACACCGTCCATGAGAAAGTTTAACATTGAAAACACTGCCTTGTATATTTTTATTTCATGGGCCCTGACGTTTGCTTAAAATCTGAATCATGACCTTCTACACCTAAGTCCCCGGGCCTAACACATGTGGGCACATCCAGTGGATCAAGGGAGAACTGGTAAGGCAAGCAGCTGGCACAGTGAAGCGCCATTATAGGAGGTGGGGTTAAGAACAATACACTCAAATTTGGCAAGAATTAGGAAAAGCATAATTCAATGAAACAAGCTTTCATTTCAAACCAGCTTTCTAATACATTGCTTAAGAAATACCACAAGAGCTCAAACAAAGTCACTTGCCAAAACCAAACAATTTCCCAACATTTGTGAGTATATTCAGTTTATTGTGGTGGCCCTCAAATGCTGCCCATTTTCAAAATGGCATTAATAATCCTGCCCGTCACATCACTCCGGTGTCCTGCAACTTTGCTCAAGTGAGAGGTGCACTGACTTACCCGAGGGGTGCGCATTTGACCTCCACAGAATCACGGCAAAGCTGTTTTTAGGTTGACAGGAACAAACAGGGACTTTCCAGTTCCCAGGAGTTTAACTAAACCCTACACACATCTCACCCTGGGTCCCTGTGCAGAAATGACTACTTTGCTTGTGGTTCTGAAGGGCTGCTGCAGATGACTCAATTCCTTACTGAGGAAGGAGCCTCAAGTCCTTCCCTGGTTGCTCCCTTTTCTGGCTTATTTGCATCTTTGAAAAAAAAATTCATAAAAAATATAGCAACAAATAAATGGCTCTTTTGTGAGGGATGCAGAAGCTGCATAAATAGTTCATTAAAACAACAGTCCAGTCCACTGATGAATGAAATGCCTTTTCGTAGAATGCGGAATCTAGTTTTGAGTCCTCAGCTGTCCCCCGATGTGGGCTCTCCCCTCCCTCCCACGCTTCGGATCCGGGCTGGAAAGGACCTTGTCTGGCTAGCAGCAGCCTGTGTTTTCCTTCACTTAATCTGTGCAAAATCCAGAATCAGGAAAACCTGGGGAGGGTTACAAACTAGCTGAAGGAAGTGATCTCTCAAGATCCGAGTCTGAGCTTTGCACCCTACTGGGGCATCTGGCAGCCCTAAGACATGGATCCTATGTGTTATTGGCTACAAAAAAGGCAGACTGAGACTCCCACTTCAGCTTCCCAGAAGGCTTGCTATCCTACTGTGGCTGAACTGCTCCTCTAGGAGGGACAACTGTCAAGTTCAGTATTTGTTTTTAATTCAAAATATTAATACGTTCCCTATGTCAACATCAATTTTAGAAAAAACTGACTAAAAAACTCCTTGAGTATCACTGTAAGGGATGGGAGGCCAGGAAAGGCTACCAAAAAGAACTCAAAAACACGCAATTCTTGCCCATGTTGAAAAACATTCAGGTGTAGCTTGAGGAGAGAGGAAGTGCTTAGGGGAGAGAACTAAACACTTAATAGACAAACTCTTATTACCTTAAGAGTATAAATATTTTAATTGGTTTTATTTAAAAGATTCCCTTTTAAATCTGTTCCAAAGTATTGGAAGCTGAACTGTACAAGTTCCTGTCACCCACCCTCTTCCAGTACAGTTTTTTAGAGGACTTTTTTGTTTAAAACTAACAAGAGGACTCTACTAAAAACCAGGTGGAACCAGAGCTAGCTCCTCGGGCCCCGTGGCAGTCTGGCCCATGCTGGCCTCATGGAAGCAGTGGGTGAAGGAGTCTGGGGAAGTGGGTCCTTGTTCACGTGAGGAAGGCAGTCCAGATATGGATGGGAAAGCCCCCATGCCGACACCCCCTGGCACACTTCTTAGACTTCATATACTGAAGGCAGCTCCCTTTTTATGGCCAGTTTTAGCAGGCAAAGAAACAAAGGAATATAGATACATATATGTGTATATATATATTTTATATAAGTAAAATATATACATATCTTATATATGTATATATACATATTTGGGGGGAGGGGAAAGGAGAGGAAGGTCATGTAAACCGAAACAGTCATCACATTACCCCAAATGAGCTTGACATTAACAAAAAGAATAAATAACTCCTGGGGCGGGGTAAGTGATAACAAGGGTGCAGCAGAAGGGAAAGGGCACATGTTTAACTCTTAAATACACTTTGATATCTGTTTGGCAGAGTCCAGGCCAGCCTCGGGCTTCTGCACTTGCCAGACAAGTAAGCTAATGAGACATAAAGAAAAGAAAATTAAGGAGAAAATAATTCAAGCAGAGCTCCATACCACAGTTTTCCTTCAAGTTAGCTGGCCGGCAGGCACCATATTCCGACCACCAGGAACAGAAACTTTGGCTCCAAGGAAAAAAAAAAAAAAAAAAAAAAGTATTTCCACTTAACAACATGAAAATACAGAAACTTCATCAATGAAAGAAAACTATCAAAGAAGTCTACTTCCAGCAAAACTGAGGTAGCACTGCTTTCTCTGTATTCAATGCTTAAGTGGTTCTCAGTACATTGTGTACCCCCTCCCCCGCCATCCAAAAATAATTAAAATTAAAAAATAACCCAAAACACTGCTCACTTGACTGACAGGTGCAGCATGTTCATGGATAAACTCAACACGAAATGCAATAGGTTACAAGAAGGAATGAGCAAGAAGTGAGGGCAATGAAGGTTTTGGATAAATGCGCTTACAGGGGGAGTTGTCACCAGGCTCCACAAACGCTCCGCTCCCCAAGAGCTCTGATCTTGTCTGGGAGTTAATGCAATGTGGTTAACAGTTAACACTGCTACTCCAATCTGTGTAAATCTTTAAAAAAAATAATTATCATAACCTAAATTCAACCATGTAAACAGCACTACACACAGTACAGACCTGCCCTGAAAAAACAATATGCAAAACTGAGATCTGGCACTGTATCATTTTGTCTTGTTAATTCAACCGAACGGTCCCATTCCCCCCATCCGGCTCTATGCCCGCCCCCACCAAAAAAAAAATTCAATTTGTGCAAGAAATGGCAGGCTTATTCTATCTGAAGGCTTCAAAAAAAGATACACAACAAATAGCCAGGTTCAAATATTTGGGCGGGAGGATTACCCACCCCCCAAAAAAAGAAATAACCAAAATAACCAAAAAATGAAGAAAGTGCCTAAAACATGATACAGCATTTTAGAGCCCTTTCAGATACAAGGCAGAGAAAGGTGTAAAGTAGAAAATATCCGGATCTTCAGTAATTTCCAGAAAGGTCCAATTCCTTGGTTGGCTGCAGGGCAGCAGGCAGATCCTTGCTGCTGCCCCGGGGGACAGAGCCACTAAGTCTGCTCCCCGGGACACAAGCTCTCGGGCCCTGAGCTGAGCGCGCCTCTCCCTTCCCCTTCTCTTTTCCTCCGCTCCATTTCCCACTCCACAAAGGTATCGAAGAGACTTGGCCAGGCCTCATCCTCACTGTAGTTGCTGAGGTCGGGGCCAATCACCTGAGTGAAGTTAAGGAACATGTTCCAAGTGTCCCGGGAGATGCCCTTGATCCCCGAGGGGTTCTCGGTGAGGAAGTTTAGCCACTGGTCCAATACTGGAGGGTTGTTCTGAGTGAAGACTAGTTTCCACAGGGCAATGGCTATTTCCCGATGCAGCGACCGCTGCCCTTCTTCGGAGTCCAGGCCAAACTGAAATGTAAACCGGTAGAGATCCTTGAATTTATCCTCCTGTTTGGCTTCTGTTAAGAGGCTAGGGAACCGTGCACAGATACCATCAATGCTGTCTGCACTTATTGCCTTGCAGCCATCGAAAAACTCCTTCCTGCAACAGGAAAGAGAAGGCACAGTCACTAATTATAAACTACATCATTAATTGAAGGCAAGAGAGGACAGTAATGAATGAAGAGTATGGCACTGTGGCCGGAAGGCCTGGATCAGAATTCCTGTTCCTCCGTTCCTCAGTCCCACTTGCTTGACTGTCAAATGATGAGTAGAACTTGACACCTTACTCTGTACAGTCTGGGAAGAGCTAAACAGATTAGTATGAGCACTAAATGTTTCTAACATTGTCCCACACACGGCAAGCATCTGATGATAGTTCACTCACGTTTTGGCCCTCTCCAAGTTAAACTCAAGTCTCTTGCTCCCTGATGGGGTTCCCTGCTCTACACTGGTGACTAAGTTGCTTCCTGCCTTCCTTTTGATTCTCTTTGGGTTGTGTTTGGTATCTTTTTTTTTTTTTTAGTGATGGCTAAGGAGCCCAACATGCAATGCAGGAGGACCAAAGCTGTGCTATTAAAAAACAAAAGCTGTATATGTATGTTAAACATCTTCACAACATTTTCAGGTAACAGCATGGTGTCTCATCAGTTGTCTCAAGGTTTGTTGTATCCACCGAGGTTGGGGATCTCATGTCTGAAGGGTAAAGCAACCTGGAAGGCTATAAACTAGAAATGACTGGGCTGGGTCTCAAGTCAGTTGTTATTCATAACTACAAGGATGTAAGACAACAACAACATGTAAACCGTTGCTCGAGAGCTGGGCCCACTGTCTTTGTTACACACGGGCCTGGCTGAGGGCAATATGTAAGTGTGAGGAGGGACAAGTGGCTTCACAGAGTGACAGGGCACATCCCTGGAGGTTCTCACTGTATGAGCATCAGCACCCGGCACATGAGTAACCACCTGGTGAGTGAGTGAATTCTCCAGCATCCCAAGATTCCCATTTAGTAGGTCAGCTTTAAAGTCAGGTACACATTTATTAAACCCTTGGAAGAGTCTAGGAATAGAATTAAGGGACTAGGGTGAGACGAGAGTCTAGGATCGGAACCACAACTTAGCTCAAAACATTTCACTTTTTTTAGGAGACTGGTCAGAACACAAGGATTTCCCACCAAGCCCTGTCCTAGCTGGGCTCCACTGCCCAGCAGTGCTCACTTTCTTCCTCTGCTCACACGCTGACATGAAGGGTTTATAGAACTAACCTGGTGAATTTGCACATGGTAGCAGCCTGGAACTTCCAGGCCAAAAGCAGCACTCTAAATTCCGTGGGGTCAACACATAAGTCATTGCAAAAGCGCTCCATGCCTTCCTCCAAAATTGCATCCTCCCGCTCGTCCTTGTAGCGCCTAAACAGTTCTTCCAACCTCTGCAGGGAAGACTCCTCCGCATTGGACTTGGACTCTCTCCCAGCATCTCCCGAGGACGTTGGCAGCTGGCAGACCTCAGTGGCAGCCTCTGCCTTCTTGGTCCCATTGACGACGATGTCCCCACCTGGCTTGCCACAGGGTGGCACCTGTTCCTCACGGTGGCCTGCACCTCGCCTGCTGTGTGATTTGCTGCTGGAGTCCCGGTCTCCATTCTTACTCCCCAAGGTTGATGAGGGATTCTTGCACTTGGTGACACACTGGCCCATGGTGCTGATGGCCTGGCCTCTAAAGTGGCCCCCTCTGGATTGGATACCCTCGCTGCCGCTGGCCCATGTACTTCAACATGCCATCAGCCAGAGGAGCCAGCCAACCTGCAAAGAAATTGGACAGCAGTCACTTCTTGAACATGGGAGAGAGGGCATAGGTACCACCCCTGGGGGCTGCATACAGGGAGTTTCATACAGTTCATTTCAATGAGTGAATGAAAAGCAATGGCTGAGCTCATCATCACCTCCCCCATGAGCCAGCTCCATAAATTGCTTTGGAAATGCAGTGGCTTGGGCACATATGGAGAAACAATATGGGAAATTCCTAAAATTCTTAAGGTAACCTAGGTTACAAAGAAGCTGATTCATGTGCAGAACACATCAAAGGCTACAGTTCGGACAGGAAATCTGTCTTGCCAAATTCACCATCAGGTAAAAAAGTTATGTGGGCCTGGGTTAAGCCAGAAAGTATAAATATCAGGTTTATTTTCTGGTTCCTAATGCCACCAACATGCTCAGATTTTCTTTTTCCATAGGATTAGTAGGGAGAGAGGGTGACCATACCTAAAACAGCTGTCTCACAGCGGCCTGAGAATGAGGTAAAAGATTTGCAGTGTGAGGCCTATGAACAAGGGCCTAGTCACCACTTAGGATGCCCACATCCCATAATGAAGTCCTCGCTGCTTGGTTTTTGCTGATGCATCCTGGGAGGTGGCAGCTAATGGCCCCCATGCTTGGGTCCCTAGCACCCACATGAGAGGGTGACCCAAAGGTAATGTAATTTTTCTAACATTACTCTGTCTATCCAAGACTCTTTTTAAGTGTTTATTTCCATCTACTTAAAAGTCAAAAGCAGAGATACAGAGGTCCTTCCATCTGCAGGTTCTCTTCCAAAATGCCCACAACAGCCAGGGCTGTGCGGGAGCCTAGAGCTCCATCCAGGGCTGCCTGAATGGGTGGTAGGGACCTGAGCACTTATGCTATCACCCACTGCCTCCTCAGGAGCAGGAAGCTGGGTCTAAGCAGAGATGCTAGAACTCTGACGCAGGATGCGGGCATTGTTTACAGCTGTTTAACCTGGTGTACTGCGATGGCGCCCCCAGGACTCATTCTCATTTTCAACTAGCTGGCTAGAAAATCCATTCTACTAGTGCAGGTTGTACATCCTGAAAGCAAAAATTCAAAATCCAAAATATCCCCCAATTTAAACATTTTAGGTGCTGAATTGATGCCACAAGTGGAAAATTCCATGCCATGAAACTATTTCACATATGAAATTACTTAAAATATTATACAAAATTAACTTCAGCCTATATATGGAATATATGAAACAAATTGATTTTATATTTAGATGTAGGTCCCACGCCCAAGACATGTATTTCATGATGTATACCAGAAATGTTTCAGAATCTGGAAAAATCTCAAATTTCTTCACCCTTTCAGTATCAAGCATTTCAGGTAAGGGATACTCAATATGCACTAAGAATTCCAGCTGCTACGACAATGGCATCCACCAGAATTATATTAAGGAAATGTGGACCAGGAGCCAGGGCAGTAGGGAAAGCAGATACAAGACAAAATCCATGTGAGTCCCAGTCAGGTCTCCCAGTTCTAGGAGACTTCGTGGACCTTCAGGATCTATATTCAAAGCTCTAAGAGAACTGGTAGTAAGGCAAAAGGCTGGTTTATTAAAGCCCAGAACTGTAGACTTTGCCAGAAATACTTCCTTCCAATAGAGCTTGGGTAAACTTGGGGGTTATTTTCAGGGGGAATTCTCAGGGTAACGTCAGGGTATATGAATTTAAGACCAAAGAGCAGAATCATTCCTGTAGCTATTGGAGACTAATCATATCAGGGTGTGTCCATGCTCCACCCCGTGAGAGAGTAAGTGACAGAAAGACGTGCCCAGGCATGCCTCCCAAAGACGTGCAGTTTCACTTAGGCTTCAAAAACACAGCAAAAATCTTCTAAAAGCTTGTAGTGTAGAAAATGACAACCCAAGTAAGCCTTTCCCCACAACCCCCCAAAAAGGAATACTTTCTATGCTTTAAAAATACAGCTAACAGACATATTAGCACAATCTACTAAAATATCAAAAGGCAAGGGTTAATTCTTGGAAGGCCATCCTACAAGGGAAACAACTGTTCAAGCTGAATTATCTCAAAACAAGAAAGAACTATAACATGTGGAGGGTCTGGTTTCCAGATTTGTGTTTCTGAAGACTAGAGTGCTGAAACAAACAAAAGGCCCAAACTTACACAAACCCCACATGCTCACAGACTGGCAACTCTAATTCCCAGGCTCGCTGACTCACCAGGGTTTGCTGCTCAGCTCCCGTTGCTGGGGAGGCACAGGCACCCAGGGAGATAAGAGGATTTTCTGGCCTCCATCTGACCCACCTATCCTGGTCCACTCAAGTCTAGCCACACTGGACAGATGCTTCGAAACAGCAGCTTCCTGCAAATCCTGGCATCTAGGCCTTCAAGTAGCAGCAGATGGGCTCTCAAAGAGGCCCTAATTCCATTTACCCAACCAGCCCTCTAGGTAAGAGCATCTTTTGATGACCTGACACAACAGAATCAGCTCAAACCTGAAGGCTTTTAACATGCCCAGTAGATGAGAAAAGGAGGGGAAAATCAATGTTGACAGATGATCAATCAGCGAGTACCACAAGGTCAGATCCTTCCCTTCTGGTCTGTTTGAAAGGCTTCATTGTAGTTGAGTGTGTAGTGGGTCTCAAGCCACAAGGAAATATTTCCATACCTGGTGGTGAGTATGGCCCTCTCCTTCTGGGACCACCCCTTTTTCTGGGAAATCACTTTTGCTTGCAGAGCTTTTCCCAGGCTTCATCACAGCACCCAGACCTGTTTTCCAGGCTGGCAGCATTTCAAGTGTTTTAAAGTTGAAGGTCTTCCTGCACTTGTAGCTGCTGGCTAATAACTAATAATAGCAGCCATCAATTATTGAGCACTTGCTATGGTACCAAGCCCTATGCTAAGCACTTTAGGGACATTAACTCATATATTCTCACCACAACCCCATTTAAAGACAGGGAAACTAAGATGCAAAGTAAATTAGCCTGGATCATGTAACCAACAGAAACTGGTAATCTGGCTCCAGAAACTATTACTTTTAACACTGGACTGCTGAGTGTGCCTACCTTTGGAAGGCATGTGGAGGGATGGCACCAAGCTAGAAGTGATACCAAAGCAACCCCAGAACAGCAGTCCCCTGCCAGACAAGCAGAGCGAGCTATGTGGTCTGTGGGGTTCAAGAACTCGCTGCCCTCTCCTAGGCCAACCCTACTACACAATCAAGCCAGGATGCCTTTGGGTTCAGCGCCACTCACATTTAGTTCCCTTCTCTGGAATGTTCTGGTCCACAGTATGGTTTAAAACTCTAGAAACTGAAGACCAGCTCTAGCTAAGGAACTCTGATGCAAACTTTCCTCAATCTGCAAAATGGTCCCTGCTCCAAGGAACTGCTGGTAAAGATTCAGTTAGGAAACACCATGAAACAGGCCTCATCTCCACTGCCCCAACACCCCAGAAAACACTGGCTGACACATGGCAGCCATGACTGCTGGCAGTTGAGGGGCAACCAGCCCCTTGAAACCGTGGCTTGTCTCATGTGAACAATGGCTCCAGGCCTCTGTTGCCTCAGATACTTAAAGGCCTCCTGTTCCTGCCCTTCAGTCAGCAGCTCATGTCTTACTTCTTCCACCGCAGCAGTGATTCCACTCAAAACCATCACTACAGGCCTGGTGCAGTAGCCTAGCGGCTGAAGTCCTAGCCTTGCACATGCTAGGAACCCATATTGGCACTGGTTCTAACTCCAGCAGCCCCACTTCCCATTCAGCTCCCTGCCTGTGGCCTGGGAAAGCAGTTGAGGACAGCCCAAAGCCTTGGGACCCTGTACCCGCATGGGAGACCCAGAGGGGTCTCCAGGCTCCTGGCTTCAGATCGGCTCAGCTCTAGCTGTTGTGACTAGTTTGCGACTGGTTTGGGGAGCAAACCAGTGGATGGAAGATCTTCCTCTCTGTCTTTCTTCCTCTCTGCATAACTGGCTTTCCAATAAAAGCACCACTGCCCAAAAATACTTACAGGATGCGATTCTCTACAAGACAGGGTTTCCTTCTCACAGACTGAGCCTGAATAAAACGAAAAGCAGGATGTTTGCTGCCCTAACCTGGGGCAGGCCTTCCCCATTGCACTCCTCTTTCCTCTTCATTTCCAGCCACGTGCATTTGCAAAAAAGCAAAGCAAAACAACAACAATAACAAAATAGTACTTCTTGTTTTCTACTCAGTTATACTCACTGAATGATCGGGCTTAGTAGGCCCACCCTTCCTCTCACTGCCACCCATGAGTGAGGTAGACAGCCTTATGGTCTTAGCAGTCTGGGTACCCTGGAGCCAAATTTGCCACAGAAACAAAACATTGTTACTAATGAGTACCATTTTGCATTTGTTAGTACATTATAATAGCTATATATAAACATAGCTCAGTGAGTAATTACCCCTAATTACAGCAAAATAAATGGAGGTACAGGGAGGTTAGGAGCCTATCTTGGAAGGGAGAAAACAGGAGCAGAGTAATTAAGACGATGAGCTCTGGCAAACCTGGGTTGGATCACAAGTGCTGATACCCATGAACTCTACTGGCCTGTGCCTAAACGGGGGGCATCCATTTCTCAAAGAACTGGTGGGAAGAATGAGACACTCCATGTACAATGCTCTACTTAATACCTGGCTCTTAGAAAGCATGTCCTTGTGTCCTCTGTAATAGCTGCTGCTATCACAATGCTGGTGACACAATCAGCCTCCCTTCTAGTACAGCAGCCCAGATCTGCCGTGATAACTCAGGGATGCCCAGCAGTAGCTCATGAGTGACTGCTCCTGCTTCAGCCAAGTGACACAAATAGACGGACTGGAGCCAAGGACAAGGAGGGTTAGGAAGGAAAAGCAGGAAAATCAAAAGTAAACACATCACAAACCTGTGCATCCCACTTCCCGCCATTTAGAACTGCAGTGAGAGGTCAGGAAGCTGCTGCTCCAGGGTTGTGGGCGGTGCCGGCCAGCACCAAGTGGGCACAGCTTTGCTCTCTTGAGATGAAATTGCCTGTAGGCCTGGCACGATGGCCTAGTGGCTAAATCCTCGCCTTGTATGCACAGGGATCCCATATGGTCTCTGGTTCCTGTCCGGCTACTCCGCTTGCCATCCCATTCCCTGCTTGTGGCTTGGGAAAGCAGTAGAGCATAGCCAAAAGCCTTGGAACTCTGCACCCACATGGGAGACCCAGAGGAAGATCTCTGTGTTTCTCCTTCTCTGTAAATCTGCCTTTCCAATAAAAATAAATCTTAAAAAAAAAATGTTGCCTCTCTGGGAGAAAAGCACTTTTGGATAACCCACACCGAGACTCTGAGTAAGAGAAGAAGATGGGCAACAGCGAGAGAAGGCTGAGCTTTTACTACACAGGGAAAAGTCAGAGGGACTAAGGAAGAGAAACCAGAATTTGGGAAGTCTGGGGAAACATGTTCAAGCCTTAAGAGCCCGAGAAATGGGTTGTTGG